TTTTTTCGTGCGACAAAGATATTTATGAATATCCATAATTATGAGGCAGTGTTACACCCAAGTGATGTCTGAAATGTATCAACAGCTGTCTGCCCTTATCTCCCAGTCAGGCTTCTGTGTAGGAAACACAATATAATGGTCGAGTGAGGGGATAATTGCATTGTGTTATTAACGTTTATGCAGCGTATGCAGTTGTGTTAATGGTAACAGAGGTCAAAGGCTAAAGTTAGACGCGTGCTTTTCTGCTTCAGGTCAAGAAATACGACTCTGAGCTTTGATGTGGGTTTTTTTTTTGTTGCCTCTCGATAAAATGGCCTTCTAAGACAGAAAAATCCTGTGTGTGTGTTTGTCATACATGGATGGAGTGCTGCCTAAACAGCTATCCCACAATAATGAATTGGCAGAAGCTGTCACATTTGCACAGGCTCGAGTNTTGTGTGTGTGTGTGTGTGTGTGTGTGTGTGTGTGTGTGTGGTGCACGCGCTGTTTTCCAGGTGGCCTATAATTGCTTCACACTACCACAACAGAGGGCTTATAGCCTTGAGTCAGCCATTAAATACAAAGAATATTTAAAAATATCCAATTATTTGCCCATTTCCTCCACGCCTACAGGCTCTGAGAGAAGCTCAGTTCAGAGTCGGGCACATGACTGTTGAATCGGCTTTGTTTGGGTGCACTGCTCGCTCTGTCTGCACTACGTACTGATAAAGAAAAACCATGGTAGGAGTCCAATTTTTAATTACATGCACGCTGCACTAATGATGTTGCTTTAGTCAAATGGCAGCAGGAACTGTGTTTCTTCTTCTCCTTAATGTTTTTTTTTTTAGGAGGGAGCTGTTTGCATGGTGCAGAATAAATATACACAAGCAGATCATAATGCTGGATGTGTCCTTGAGATTGTTGAGTCGTACGACGTGTACTGAATAATTGTTTCACATTTTTCAACCACTGGACACCATTTAAACACTACTTATTATATGACGATGCTTGCATGGTAGTTAACATCTTGCAACTTCCTTGCATCTACAGCGTTTTCTGCTCCATATCTCCACAATGAATATGACCAATGGGTTTACCCTGCAGCTGGACACCCACGCACACACCAAAACAAAGTCTATCAGTCAATGACATGACCCAGATGAACAGCCAAGGTCCCTGGGCTCCTTCGAAGGACAAGGCTACTATTACAGCAGACAAAGGAGTGCTGAAAGCGAGAGGCAGCAGCTGATTTATCAGCACTGATAGAAAATCCCCACCTTCATGTCCGGGCTGGCCCGACCTCAGATTGAGGTTTATCAGTCTGGAAGTCCTAATCACTTCAATCTTGCCTTTTTAGATGTGTGGTTTTCTACCATTTGCATTCGTGGCGCTACTGCTCTTAGCTGCCTGTTGCAGACAAAGCAGCGTGTTACACAGAAAAATGTGCTTTCAGACCTTTCCAGTGGAATAATTTTCCATAGCTTCTGGCAAGAAATAAAAGGCTAACCTAATATGATGATGCCAGAAGGAAATATGAAGAGTTAATTTGCAAAAACAGATAACTTATTAGAAAACGTGTTTGTTTTTTTTGTTGTTTGCTTGAGATAATATCAATCAAACTGAAGCTGAGTGGATTAGACTCAGTAGAAATGACAAAAATAAAGATAAGTTTGACTGATGTTATCTCAGGTACACGATGGAAAAGTGGGTTTTCTGAAGGTTTGTGAAGATGGAGTTATCTGTTTTTGCAACTGAACTCTTCATATTCCGATTCTGTTTTTGAATTTCAAACATTGTGATGGTGAGATGGTATTAGTGCTGCGCCCCAGTGTCTTTGTGGTGACTTGTTTGGTCCATAAAACATGAGAAAAAAGCTTTACTCTATTTTTGAAAACCTGTAATTATCAAATGTTTGGCATTGAAAGCTGAACAATTATTGAGTTATGAAAATTCCTTTCTTGTTAATTAACCTGTAGATGGTGATCAACGATAAAGAAGCCAGAATCACGCTGCTTAATTCTTATATTTTGCACAAATAAAACTGTGTGTTAACTGAACTGTGAAGGCTACAGTACAGTGACACTACTCTCCTTTAAAGATGTAATAAAATAACAGAGCATTTTTGTAAAGGACCCTCGGTGCATATCAAGCTCCCTGTTGTCTGTTTGAGGCTGCACAGCTCAGTGAAATTCCCTGCAGACATGACTAGACACCATAATGATTGCTTTTAAAGAGAAAAAAAAAATGAGAGGAAGCAGCGGCCTTCTCACAGCATTACTTTAGCACAATGTACAGTCTGAAACCTCCAAGTCTATTCATTTCATACAACAGGAGCGAGTAAAGCCTTCGTCACTCTAAGCCGATTACTGAGCGGTGAAAGAAAAAGCCGGCTAACTCATGTGTTTCTCCCCCGAGGAGCCAACAAATCTAATACGGTGTAAACATCAGATGTAGCCGGCATCAGGTTGTTACTCACAGGGATTGAAAAGGGGAAGAATGCAACTCACACAGATTGATCTGGATCATACTGAACCGCAGCCAAAAATCTCACAGTCGATCTCAAGAGAACAACATTCAACATTTATACTCGTGCGATCAATAATATCGACCCTTACGATCTCCGATTCTCTTAAAAATATCTTCTAACCTGCCTCCTTCCCTCCATCCTACCCGTCTCCTTCCATCTGTTTCTACCTGACTGCTTTCCTCCCCGGCTGTCCGCTCTCAGACCTGTCGGAGAGTCGGCAGCTCGCCGGGGTTCACACCCTGCTGCCATGTTGACTGGCCATAAACAGAACACACAGAGACTCACGAGCCTGTCAGCCATTCTAAACACAGGGAGAGACCGCCGAGCAAACACTCGCAGAATGACAGAGCGATATCAGCAGTCAGACCACCGCTGGGGTCAGCTGCTGCCGTGCTGTGCAGATCGCACGACTTGATTTTGAGGTTAAACATGTAGTTGTAGAAAAGTGGCGTCATGTCTGTTATGCATTCGTTTTCTTTGTGTTTTTCTTACTACGGATCTAAACTTCAAGCAGTTGACATGTTCACAGAAACACTACAGTGTCTCTCTGGTTATAACAGTGTACTATTTTTAACCCTTTTTAGCCTCGTGTCCGAAGCATAAAGTTAGAAAACAGCTCAATTCAAGCATATTGCTCACTTTGAGTGTCTGTAAAATATATTGTTTTATTGTGTTCCTCAAAGGGTTAAGTCCACTCTGTGACAAATGTAACCCTCGAGACACAAAGAAAGTGTTGTATTGATTGAGTAAATCCTTGAAAGGCCATGTGAGGTCCATCGAACCAGACTATAAAGCCGCAGGCAGAGCTTCTGTACGTCAGCGGTGGATCCGTGAAGCATGACGCTCCTGAAATCTACCGCCTCAGAGCGGCTCGGAAGGATAGAGGGAAGGGTTTCTCTGCTTTTTGTTTATTTTATGTTGCTTTCACGCAGGAATTGACTTTCATACCACAGGCTAGAAATGTAATATGTGGAGGTCACCCGATGTGAGATGAGACAGCTGACCGTCACAGCAGCCTGGATAATAGCGCCCTCTGCTGTCTGAGGGCAGACTAGCAGCTACACAGTTAATACATCGCAGTGTTCCCCCTTTTTCTTTGATACACATGAGTTGCTTTAAAGAAAGCGCAGACAAAAACATATGGAATCTGGCTTTTTTTAAAAAAATTTTAAGCACATCTGGATTTGTGCAACTTTGTCTACAGTTGATTTTTCAAGCGCTCTTCCCATTTCAGTACATATAGTCATCCTTAAATGTATTCATACCCTTCCATTAAAGAAAAGGCTAAATTCACAATAGTCACTCAAATAACTAGAAACTAGAAAAAGTAATAAAAAATAAAAATTTGCTAAATTATAATTTAGTGAAATAAGACATTGCTTTTGAATTGTGGTTGAAAAGAATAATTAAAAAAAAAAACAAAAGAACAACCTGTCAGCAGGTGCAGAAGTCTGATTGAGAGTTACAGAAAACACTTGATTGCAGTGATTGGCCTAAATATTAGTTTACGGGTCCCATCATGCTTGTTGGCGTGTTTTTTTTTTTTTTTTTAAATATATTTCCGTTGAACCACAATTCAAAAGCGATGTCATGATTTTCATTACATTTTTATTTATTACTTTTGTCAATTTCAGCTTTTCCCTTCTTTAATAGGAGGGTATGAATAAATCTGAGGACGACTGTAAAATGCCACTGACAGGAGACCAAAGTGAAAGGTGTCATTTCATTAGACTTTCTGGGTTTTAGGAGTAATGTTAGCACACAACTCAACTGTTCTTATTATTTTATATATGATTTATTTGATATTATATTAATATTATATATTATTTTGCCTTCTTTAATGGAAAGATATGAATAAATCTGAGGACGACTGTAGATGACAACATGGAAGCTTGTATTTTGACCTGAAACTGGATGAATGTGACTTTAAGTCCAAGGTAAATACAAAGAATGCACAAATGTAGTTGATCCAGAGCCACATTTATACATGTCCTCAAGGAGAAGTTAAAAGATGATGTAGACTGCAGAAGCTCAGAAAGAGTAAATCTATTGAACATGTTCAGGATTTTTCCTGAGATTTTCAGCACATAAGGAAAACAGCTGAGACCAGAATGGCAAGAGCTGAGAATAATATAGATTATAGCTTTGTCAAATAAGGTACCACATACTCATTGCCTTTATTGTAGGCAGACTGATCATGCTGTGCATAGTCACCCCCCAGAGGCCCATTGTGATCCAGGAAACACCCTGAGGTCAAATGTACATTGATCTGAGCTCAGGCAGTTTTCATATGAAATCCCAATAAATGAAATCACTGACTTGTAAACCAGCCACTGATTAGAAATCTGCTCTGGCATCAGATACTCGCACCACTCGCTGCAAAACAGGATATTACTCGGCTCATGCAGCGAACCGCGTGACACTTTGAAAGACTGCTGCGTATTTTTGTGAGAACTGTGCAGTGATGTAGGGAGGAAGAAGAGAAAGCTCTCACCTGGTACGATCTCAAACAGGTGTCGTCCTGGTTCGTCTGGGTTCGCTGTCAGTTCGTTGACTTGGCATCCTTGCAGGGGTATACAGCCCTGAAACACACAGGAGAGAGAAATTAAAACGGTGAATCAGCACGGATGAACTCATTTACTGACTTTACTCTTTCTTATCCCTCACTAGCTTGTTTTTACTCTCTGTCATTGTTTTCATGTTATTTCTGTTATTTTCTATTTGAGTGATCCAGTGATTTATTTTCTGAAGTAGCTAAATGGGATTTCAAATAGTGCAATTTACTTTAGCCCTGGTTTTGTGTGTTTTTTTCTTTTTTCAAGGCCAAAGAGATACATGAAGTAACTGGAGGGAAAATCCATGATAAATACATGAGAAGGGGTAGATTAGAAATATTATCTGGAAAAAAGAAAACATATTTTCTCACATGCATGTCAATATCTACACACATAAGCATGTCCACACACACACACACACACACACTTATATATATATATATATATACACACACAACCACAACTAACTTGTACATATCCTTAAACACACATAGTTAAACACACAGTCTCATACATAGTTATTGTTTCTTTATACAAACAAATAGATAAATAAATATATATATTTAAATGTTCATGACCCTTTGATTGACTTTCTCCCCTTCTCATATTATATCTAATTCCAGCTTTCACCTTGTCCCACATTGACCCACGTTCAAAAAAGAAGCTCTCTTTTTTATTCCTATTAACATCCTTTTCAAGAACCCTTTTAAGCATTCTGTGCCTAATTGCTGTCTTTGTAGCGTCAAATATGTGTGCTTTTCCCATCTTAATGATGATATGGTAATGCTGTTAAACCATGATTTTAATTGTATTGTCATTTACATAACAACAGTCAAGTTTGAACACATTTAATCAGACGGTTCAGAAAAGAAACAGAAGAAAAAGCAATTTCATGTTTCTGTACGTTACTGTGATGCAAATGTTGGGAGTTGAGTGCATCAGAATGAACAGTTGGGGGCTTATGTTGACCTAAATGGAAGAGATTTGTCTCTGTTGTAGTAAACCATGTTTGTTTTGTTTAAATTAAGACTGCTGCAGTGTGATGGTTTTCCTGAGCTTATTCGTCACCATCTGGTGAGCTGGTTTGCTCAACATGCAACCTGAAATAAAATACGATGACTGGACTTGTGACTGAAATGTCAGTTCCAGCAGATTAATGTTTCAATTCAATTCAAATCAAATAACTTTATTTATCCCCTAGGGGCAATTCAAAAGCTCACTGGGTATTTAATATAAAGCCTTCAAAAAAAAATAAAACAAACAAAAAAAACAATAAACTACATCATAAATATCACATTATATTACATGGGACGAATCACGAAAAGGACGGTGATGTGAAATTTAGAGTCCTGATTTGAGACTAAATGAGTTTGTAGATAATGCAGAGTAGAGCACAGATGCAGACCTGCAGTTTAACTATTAGACAATAGTAAACAATTAACTAGAAAACTGAGTTGTGCAATTAGAGCTTTCCTTCCTTCTTACTTCGTTTCCTTCCTATATTCCTTTTCACTTTCACCGCTTCCTTCCTCGCTTCTTATTACTCACCTCTTAACCCTTGAAAATTTTAAGCAGCTACTCCTGTGATTGAACAGGGACCCACACAGATTATCAGAATACATTATCCCGATCAATACCCATTTAGCCCGGAGAACTGAGGCCAAGCGGGCTGTGAAGAGATGCCAGCGTCTGTAGGTCGGCCCCGTTAATCTCCACACTGGCATCCTCCATCCAATAGGATGGAGTCTGCCAAACCGCCTCAGCCGGAGGGCCGGGCTGTCGCCAGCATTAGTCGCCATGGCAACAAATGGAAGGGGTGGAAGCTGTGGATGGATGGAGCGCAGGGGCAGGGCAGGATGGGTGTCCCAAGGGAGCTATGTGCTCAGAATAACACAAGTAGCTGGCCGGGGATGAATGATTAAGAAAAGGCAGCACGTACCAGGAGAACACAAATCAACCAGCCAAGGAGTGTGTAGGACACATACAGTTTTTTTTACGTTTTAGTTAATTATTATAGAAAATGCTCCCACATGCATTAACCTCCAAGAAGCTGCACACAGATGTAGACACGCCCAGTTTAAACTGGTTTATACAGCCAATGTCCTGGACCAGAACAGCAGCCCGGCCTCTCAAGGCTCGTTCTCACTTTCATCTCATTTTGGCAACGTCCTCCACCGGTGCCAATGGAGCACAGACGCTACGCACTCCCATTGATTGGTACCATGTGCACAGGCCTGAAATTGAGGCACATAAACACCTCACGCTGCCATCGTTTAGCTCATGCCATGACCAATTCCTTAAACAGATGTCTCCTCAAATAAAAATTGGTGCCAAAACTGGATACCAGTCAAAGCACCGACAGAACCTGACCCAATCCGACTCACTGTTCAGCCACACAATCCTATCTGCAATCTCAATGCAACGTCTTTGAATTAACCCTTTAAGACTGACTGCTGAATTTATCTGAAATCATACCTAAAATAAAAATCTGCTACGTTTCAAAATGTTCATGTTAAAAGATGACTCATAATGATAAAACATCACAGAATTATTACCCAACTCTGCTGTTCCCTTTAGCTTTGTAGAATATTTTTGCTCATTAAAGCTTATTGTTTTGGTTCTTAGTTCAAGTTCTGTAGGGAGTTCAACAGTGATCATGAGTGGATCGTTCAAGAAAAGACAGCATCACTTCTCTACTCACACAATACTTGATGGAAAAGTGGCCTCGGCATTAAACCTCTGAACCCCAAATCACACTTTGAAAGGCGTGTTATCTTTAAAAAAAAAAAACAAAACTGTAGAAACAGAAGGAATTGTCTGATTTCCAACTTTCCAACGGTCTGTGAACCACTCCTCAGTGATGTGCCTTTCCATCAGGAAAATGATCCAAATCTAAGCTTCAAATTGTGATATTTCATCCAAATGACTTTATTCTACGACTTCTACAGCTAGAAAAATGTTGTACATGTTGTTTTTTTAATTTTTCTAGCACAAAAAATCGTGACCCTTTTTTCTGATTTATCTGATTATAACTTTGCCATATGCTACAGAGGACATATTTAAGTTATCTCTGCTTCTAGCCAGTGTTGTGCTGTTTCCACAAAGGTATATTACAGTAAATATTGAACTCACAGTAAGAAAAAACAATGTGCCACGAGCAAAGAAACACCCAGAAACTGCTTAAAGTTCAGAGGGTTAATGCTCATGTAGCAATTAAGATGTAGACAAAAAAAAAAGCTTCTTGGGATTTCACCACTTTAGAAATGGCCTCTATCTGAATGGCAGCTGAAGAGCCGCTGTGTATCGAGTGCTAATGGCAAACCTCCGCATCTATTGTCAGATAACTGGAGTCAATTTGTTCTGTAGTAGATTTACCCCCACGTGATGAAAAGGAAGAGAAAACCTGAATAGATCCTCAGCCAGCGTTGCCTTTCCTGCCACCAATTATCACATCCTTTCATCTGGGTGGGGCGGGTGGGGGGTGGTCTTGTTCTGCTGCAGCGATCGGCATACACCCACCTCCTCCTCCTCCCCCAACACACACACACACACACACACACACACACTCCCACCACAATCCTCAGATTTCGTATCGATTAGAAGATGAGGAGAAGAAAAAAAAAAGGCCAGAATGACACTTTTGCACACATCCAGCTCTCAGAGGGGGGAGGTGTGTGTGTGTTTGTGTATGCATTAGTGTGCATTTGTGTGTGTATGTGTGTGTGTGCACTAGGCCACGTGTGTGACTTGAATCCATTGGGAGTAGCAAATCAATATCAGATGGATGAGTATTGGCAGGCTCTGATTAAAGACAGTCTGTCAAAGCCTTCAGTCATTTGTTCGCCACAGAATGGAGATGGCGAGGAGGAGGACGCGTCATTCTGTGTGTGTGTGTGTGTGTGTGTGTGTGTGTGTGTGTGTTGACAGGGGCTGCTGCCTACATTAAATCTGCAGCAGTCATTCAAAGTGAAGACTCCAGAAATCAATAAATGTGTCAAGATTTCAGCCAGGAACGTGGAAAGGTGATTATTACGTACACATAAAGGATTGTGTGTACATTCGTGTGTGTGTGTGTGTGTGTGTGTGTGTGTGGAGCTGCCCTGGCTGTCTTTTAACGCTGGATTACATCACCGCCACTCGTAAGCCTCCGTTGACTGTCCACCCCAACATCATTAACACGACCGTGCGTGCGTTCAATAGGAATTATAATGGAGAAATATGAGTCAGCACCTGGCCACAAAAAGCATCCCTCAGTGAAGCAGCAGTGGGATTGATTGGAGATGAACTCTGTAAATATTTTTATGATAGTGTACTAATGGAGTAGGAAGCCAGGCGTCTTACACTCCTCTGATATTTGTACTAATGCACAGTAATGTCCTGTGAATGTGGTGAGTCATCATTACCGCTGTCTGTTTTCATCTGTCAGAAATAAGGCGCATGCAGTCGTGTCGTTGGTGGAGCTCACTAGTTACGTGTCGGTATCCTGAGGCCCTGATGTCTCCTGGAGACCTGGTGCAGTCGGCAGATGGAGGATGTAAATTTTACTGACATGTTACACTTTGGCTACACTGAACGCTGAACATATGTGGCCGGTTTGCAGAGCGGATGTGCTGCAGAATGCGTCTTTCTACATCTGCAGCACATGCAGGCAAAATAAGACGGTGAACTTTCGCTTTGGAATTGTCTTTGGACCCAACACTGTGCTGTTAAACCGCTACGGTTCCCTGAGGTTGTGTTATATGTTTAACATTTACAAACTGGACTATGTAAGGGATCAAGTTACTATGAAGCTGATTGTTGGCAAAGTAAATGCTGAAAGGGTGATCAAGACAAGTTTCATTTAGTTCAATGATTAAGAAGTTAAAGGATGTAGACCAGGGGTGTCCAATCCTGGTCGTCGAGGGCCACAGTCCTGCATGTTTTAGATGTTTCCCTCTTCCAACACACGTGATTCACATGATCAGGATCGTTATCAGTCTTCTGCAAAGCTTGATGATGAGCTGATCATTTGAATCAGGTGTGTTGAAAGAGGGAAACATCTAAAACATGCAGAGCTGTGGCCCTCAAGGACCAGGATTGGACACCCCTGATGTAGAGACTTTATGACCGTTTTCCGTGTAACAGCATTGTGCAAACCTCATGTAGAACAAGTATGATGCCACATGCAACAGATGTGGACCGTTTGTGGTTGTGGATCTGTGACATTGGCGTCTAAGTGGTTAGAGGTCCACTCTGCTCTGTTAATGTCAGGATCCCTGCTTCTGCCCCTACCTGGCTCCCTTTTTCTTTCCCTCTCACCCAGCCTGAGCCTCAGCCCTGTCTCTGTCAGCCTCTGTCCTCTCTCTCTACCTCCCTAGCTCACCCTCTCAGTCACTCCAGCTCTGCTCACAGTCTGATTAGTTACTGGAGACAGCTTTGGCTATCAGCTCACCTCAGTCCAGTCATCCACCTCCTGCTACAAAAGCCTTCCTCATTCCACCACACCCTGCCAGACCATTGACAGTCATCCCTCATGGTTCTGCCGGTCCCTGCTCTGTCTCCTGCCTGCCTGCCTTGATCCTCTATCTGTCTCCAGCCTGCATTCCCCCAACCAGCTTACTCCTGCCACCGGTTCCCACCCTGCTTCCAGCCTGGACTCCCTGAGCCTGTCGGCCCCCTCAGTTTTGTCCCCTCTTTGCGAGTATCCCCGTTTGTTTGAGTAGCTTTGTTTTTTTAATTCTAGAATTCATTAGGTTTCCCCCCCTCTGTTCCTTGTTTGGAGTTTTCAAGGTTTTTTTTGCAGTTTTGCCCTCATTGTAAATTTGTTCTACTTGCTTTCTCTTAAATACAGATAAACAAATGTCATAATTACAAGATCCAGATCTTGGCTGGACTGCCAACTTTCACAGAATCTCTTTAAAACCTGATCACAAATTCTGAAGTGATTCCTGCCTCATTAATCTGTTGTCTGATATCTCATAATTATGAAGTGGTCTCATAATTACAAGATCAGAATCTTGTGCCCCCAGGATCCAGATATGATAATAAGAGCTTTTCTTCAAAAGTCCGTTTTTTTTTCCTAATCTTTTTGAAAGCAGTGGACTTCTGCACCAACACACATAAATGAGCTACATTTACAAAGTATACTTTCCAATAGCCAATAACAACAATTCTGTGTGGTAAAATAAGTATATGAACATGCTTACAATGACAATACTAACATGCTGTTTAACAGATACAGCATTTACTGTGTTCACCCCCTTAGCTTAGCATGTAAGCATTTGCTCATTCACACTAAAAATGAAGTACAGCTGAAGTGCTCTGGTGCTACGTGGAGCTTCCACCATTTAACTTTTGTAACTGTCTGCAGTCACTTTGAGCTAGTATCGAAAACATGTGGAACAACGACGGATGAATGCTGCTCTTGTTTGTGTTTCCGCTGTTGTTGGTCCTTTTGCTTTTGGTTCCGCTTCGGAAAAGACAGAATTGCTAGCGGAGCATGGTGCAGGGAAACTGAGGCCCACAGTAGTGCTTATAAATGCATGCATTGTTCATCATTATACCGAATGGACCCTTTACCATCTCTAGTTAAAGCCAGCCTTTCCACCAATCCGTATTCAACCTACAGTATGTAAATGAAAAATAAGAACCACCACAGTTGTTTCAGTCCACAGTAGCCAGCCATAGCTGAACTGTGCTTCTATTCTGGCTGAAAATGAGGAAGTAAAAATGCTCAATTGAAATAGACTTTCAGGAACCCAATTAACATGTCAGAACTGCAATCAGTTCCTACAACACAGAAAGATGTTTGGGAAGAACGTAAATAACCGTCTAAAAATGCTGACACATGACCAAAATAGGGCTCAATAGTTTGCCCGAGGGTACAGGACATCTCAGCCAGTTTCTGTGATTAATGGCCAATCTGCTCTGCCACCTGAGCTCCAGTGTCCCTGAACATTTTTGAAGCTCTCTTTGACTGACCAGAAGAGTTATTGTCTCGAACCTTCTTTAAAACACTGATGGCGTCTCATTCAAACAAGATGCCAGTTTACAGCACCTGCAGATGTTCCAGCTCCTTCTAATAGCTCAAGTCGACATTATTGTTCCCTGTTCTTATATTTTGCAGCCAAACATTAATCTAAACCTGTACTAGTGCTGTCTGACTCATTAGCGCCCAGCATTCAATCCCTCAATCATCCACAAAGGGATCTGCACCACTGAGGGAAAAGATAAAACACTTTGATTTGATTGTGTAAATGCACTCTAACAAGCTGAAGAACAGTGACTCAGCTTGGTTTTAATTTCACTGTCCTCTGAGAGGTTTCCATTGTGTGCACACACGGCTGAAGTGTTACCTGTGGTTTGGTTTCTTCCTCGTCCTTGTAGAAGTAGAGCTGGTCTGAGCGCAGCACGAACCAGCGGAGCTGCCAGTTCTTCATGATGCTTCGCTGCTTCTTCAGCCAGCCAGCCTTCAGCGCCCCCTCCTGGAGGCTGGGGGAGGCCGGCCGGCACGGGCCTCGAGACACCTCGCCCATCACCATGCTCTTGGACCTGGCTGCAAACACACAAACACACACAGGATATTTGTGTTCTGTTTACACAAGCAGCTGAATGTAAGCAGTTTGGTAGGTTAAAGGGTGTTGGTGGTTCTCCTTGATTTGTTGTTTGGCTCATATCTTTCCAGTTGCTTCCTAATTTATCCTTCATTTTGTGCGCTGTATGCACACACATGCTCTGTAAGCCTCTTCACTCATGAACACTCACAACCTCCTGCCCCAGGCTGCTACACCTCCACATGAAGGGGGAGGCAGCAGGCACACATCCTAACAGAAAGCAGATACAATAGAGACTGTGAAGGGAAGGAATACACACATATACACACACACACACTGCACATAGCCTCAGGTGACAGGGATACCCCCCCCTTCAATTTCGCAGGTCCTTGGAAGAGACTTATTGTGTGTTGCCACAACCCAGCAGAATGGCAGAGGCTTTTGAGCGGAGATAATAGGACCACATGGGACTGGCTGAGTGACTGTCTGGCTGACTGAATGATTCTCAGCAACGTGTAACCTGAGCTCAGTCAAGGACAGGTTTAAAAGGGAGGGGATGGCAGCTTTTATAGCCGCTCTCTCAACATGACATCATGTTCGAGCTACCGATCTGTTCACACTGTCCTTGTGTGACATCAGTGTTGGATAACACGAGGTTTCGACAATAGATGTATCATTTTTGACATTGTTTAATATTTACTACACAAACTGACTGAGCTTGACTTGTATAAACACACAAGCCTGTCTCCAAGCACAGTTTTGTGCACTGCTAAGCATTTGCAGTAGAGGAGTAATTGTATTACACAGTTGCGCACGGTCTTAAAGGTTGAGCTAACCTCAGGCAAAGTAGGCAATGCTATTTGATGATCATGTATAATTTACGGAAATCAATTGTGCAGACATCCTCCCTGCTGCTGTGCATGTTGTGCCACAAACGCACACACACATGCGTAGAAATGATCAATGTTCAGATGAGGCAAAGAAGGGGATGGATGAATGGGAGGGGGAAGAAAATCAATGTTTATGCCTTTATATTGCCCTACCTCTCTCGCTCCAGCACATATATATATATATAGAGCTTAAAGAACACGGCTCACATCATCTTTGTTGGACGTCACAGTATGTCTTGGCAGATTGAAAAGCCTGTTGATGCTCAGGGGTGTTTAATGCTCTTGTTTGATATGCATTTTCTATTACTCTTTGCTATTTGAGATGATTAAATAGCAAAGAGAATTAAAAAAGTATAATAAGTATAAATATAATATAACCCAAAGTGTGATGTCCATGCACATGTGGGCCCCACCAGGTCTTAAGAGGTTAAAGCCGCAGGTTGAGGGTTTTTTGCCCACTTTGACTAGTGTTTACTAGCTAGTAGCTACCTCGCTGTTTGCTTACTGGAGGTTTTTACAGAGCTTTTTATCTTAAAACAACTGCCTGTTGTGGGTGAAGCCATCATGGAGGTGGTGAACCAAAACAGTAGAGCTGGGGGTTGTATAACTAAAACAATACCCTCAAAGATGCTAAAATGCTCTGTTGAGCTGAGAGGAACGCTTTTATTTCTCTGTGAGGTCAACACTGTGAGTGACCACTTCAATATTGTCCATTGTTATTCAATCCAGTGTTTATACAAAACTTAGTGCAGCTTTAAAGTGTTGCTATAGTGGATCCAATAGTCTCTCATATGCGTACTGAGGAGCAGTGAATTGTTTGACATGTCTGGGATTATAATGTGCTTGTTTATAGCCTTTTCTTCAACGTGTAGCTTTCTCTATGATCACATGATAGTTTCACTTTTCCCAGCGGCCAAGCGTTAATCAGGTTCCCTGGCTTCTCCACAGGAGTGGTGTCATATTGCTGCTTTTAGTGGTCTAATGCAGGTTTTCGCTTTTTCTTCGTTGGTCCTTTAAGACTGCGCTGAATGTGTGCGCAGACGGTTTGGAAAACACTGGCAGCAGAGCCGACGAAACCCTCCGTTGTGATGTCTGGGTTCGGGCCGCCACTCGATACCAGAGAACTCCAGTCTGTTTACCTCTCCGTCTCCTCCACCTTGGCTTCCCTCCCTTATCCATCTCGTGCTAATAATTCCAGCAGCTCTGTATTTTCCCTCCTCTGCCTCGTCACCCTCCATTTCTCTTACTTTGACTCGCTCTACTTCTTCTCCCCCCCTCCTCACGCTCGCCACCGCTGGTCCTATTGAATCAGAGCTCTGTTACTGTGAGAGGGTGCATGCGCGCACATACACATAAAGGAGATTGTTGTTATCGGTACTGGCACCACATTTCGGCAGTCTTTGTCAAATAAATTAGTTTTTGGATTAGAGGCACATTTTTATTTTCATTTTTCATTGGCTGTTCCTCTTTAAATATGTCATTATTTTTCTTTGTTTATGAGAATACTGTCAATTTTAAGCATTGCAGAGCACTCAGCCAAACTGGTCATTTACATTTACATTGGTTTGTAGCCTACATTTACATTGGTGGATATGTTTTAAAAGCTCTACACCTTACCTCTGCAGCGGTCTTGCCTTCAACCAGCCTACTGTAATCACACATAAGGATGCTCAGACATATTTATGACTTTCTTGATCCCTCGTATCTTTATAGGTTTACATCTTTTGGCTCCCAAACTGTGGCCCGTAGTATCTTTGAAGATCAAATTCTTCTGTTTTCCATTTCTATCCCAACTCCTGCTTCTTTAAGTTTGCTAAATTAGTTTTGGGATTGTGCATGAATTTCTCCCCAGTGTGAGGGCACAGCAGTGTAAAAAGAGCCATCAAACCCCCGACCTGGACAGCATTTTGCTCCTTCCATTACATCTCTGTTAACGGTGGCACTCACCTTCCCTGTCCTCCTTGACCCCTCTGTTTTTCCTCACCACCTCACGTCCCTCAAATCTTTCCATCTCCCCTCTCCCTGCCAGCGTTCGTACAACAGAGCGCCGCTGTTCAACACATGAGCCGACCGAGTGGAACATACAGGGGCTGATGATTCACGCCTGAGTCACAACAACTGATTTTTGAGTTGAGTGTGTGCGCCAAACGCGACTGCCCACTGAGCCAATTTGGACCTTGTGCTCAGAGTGATTCAGACCTTCCTTGGTTTGGGTGGAGCTGCTCTGTGGTCACTTCTACAACTATCAGCTGCAAAGACTAAAAAAGAGGCCATTTTACTGTAAAAGTGCACTTTATGCACAATCACTGCAATTCAGACCTGATTGTGGCTCATTGAGTTACAGTAGCTGGTTGTTAAGGAAGGGCTGAGGCTCCACATGGTCCCCCACAGTGTGTGCAGATGTGTAGTGTGCCCACATTTGTTTATCGTGACGTACCCCAATGATAATTTATGTAAATTGGAGCATGTGTCGTGTTATTTCAGTGTCACAGATGAATAATTCTGGGTATGAAGCGGTGGTGTATCCAGGAATACCAGATGGACCGGCTACTTATTCAGTCATGAGCTCATCCATGATATCATGAACACGCATGTGTGTGTGTTGGTGAGGGAGGTGTGCTGACAGACCGTGAACTGTTCATCACTTTGTCAATTTTTAATGCACAATTAATAGCAAAAGGAAATAGATTTAAAACGGTAAACAATTCGATATGACTGTCATTATCGTTGGATTAGCTTTTGAGGACAATGCAAGTCTATGTGATTTTTAATTTTTTATTTTCCTCATAGAATATATCTTTGGACTTTTAGACAAATTTGTTTTGCTGACCAACAGTGATCTTCATCTGTCCATCCATCATCGATACACCACTTGATCCTCACAATTTACACCCCTGGCATTTGAGTGAACCATGAAAATGTAGGACGCCATTGTACCTTATTAGCTGTGTTTCACCTCCTGCGTTTCGAGTTTCTTTTGATTGTGCTGAATAAAGTTAGGGTTCTAGAGTCAACTAACAAGCTGCCTCAATGACAGTAACATCAGCTAGATAAAAGGCGTACTACAGAAAAATAGAAAGTAGCTTTAAGAGCAGTTGTAACTGGTGGATCCTGTATGTTCCCAACTTACTGTTGTATCAGCAGTTAGCGCGGCGGCTACAGTGATTCACCAAGTAGCCCTGTAAGTACACAGAGGAGACTCATCATGTGAAATACCCTCAATAGAAATCTATGGGAGAGAAGCCAATGGTCTGCTTTGTAACAGCTGAAAAGAGACACATTAGGCTAATCCTCTTTTTGTTCTCATGCAAACATGGTGTCATGAAGCTGTGCTAATACATAGTAGAAGCATAACCTGTGCAGAAAAATGCCTTTTAAACCTTTTTTTGGTGCAAATTTACCAAAATGTTTGCACAGTTTTTATCTAGATTAACTGGTGATTGTATACATACAGTTTGTATGTCACGATGACCATTGAAACTGCAGTTATGTTTCTCTTCTAATTTCGTTTAAATACAGATCTAGTTCATTAGCCTGATAATGGCCCTCGAGTGTTACCAAGATTGCTACATAGTGATTGCCTGTAAGGGCTTTGTTAATGAAGTAGTCCCTACGTCAACTCCCCTCTAGCACTGTGACTAGACTCAAGTATTCTTAGATGATTCCTCTGAATTAAACCATGTCCTTCCACCACCCTGACTTCCACATCCTTATTTTCTGCCTGGTTATATATAGGACACATTACTTCCTGCATTGGCACTGAAGGCTGACAGTGAACGTATATAGTAAGTGGTAAATTTGTTCCAACTTATGTGTAGATAGTGGGTTGTTGCATCAGTGTTGAATTTAAAAAAAATCCATTTACATTCAATTCTATTTGGTTGAAGGTGAAATCTCAGGCTAGCATCTCAAATCCTGAGCTCAAAAATTGCAGTTGCTCCTATGGGAGAAAATCTAAACTAAAAGACTCTACAAAGCCACAAACCTGACAGGACTTAGAGTCAGCAAGTTTGGCCACATAATAATCCGTCGACAACGATAACAGTTGTCCTTTCCTGACCAATCAAAAGAGAAAATAGGAAAACTGATATACAGTCCTCAAACCAACAGAGAAGGCACACCCTGGAACATATGGAGCTAACGCTACAATGTGGACAAATGGTTGTCTGCAGATCTAAAACAAAACACAACTGGTATGACACATGAAGGGACACATGATGCTACACACACACACACACACACACACACACACACACACACACACACACACACACTGTGAATCGCTATGATGTTACTTTCTTCAGTTTGGAGTTGTATATTTAACATCAGCAGGAAATGGATGTGTGGCTGTTACGCACATCAGAGAATAGCACTTCCATTAACATGGCGAGGTGGGCACTCCAGCAATAGCTAGACAATACTGCGCCGGTGGCTAAATGGCGTACACACACGCACGCACGTAGACATATTGAAGGAATTCAATTTCCTTAATCTGGTTGTTGTTCAGTGATTTATGGCTCCTGGAAAATGGCAGAGAGTTACAGGTGCATCAGTGCGTAACTTCCAGTTAGCCTATCACCATTGATTAATGTGTTAACCATGAGATGTGTGTGTGTGTGTGTGGCAGCCTTCCTTGACAGGCTGGAGGTGTGGCAAATAATATATAGCCTGTTATGTTAAAGCTGCAGTAGAGTGGAACTGATCCGCAGCAGCAGCAGCAGCAGCGTAGTGTGTGTGTGCATGTTATCATCGCCACACACACACTATCTGCGTGTGTGCATTTTTTATCCACGCTCTTGCTCACAGTATCTAGTCGTGAGGGTGTTCATTCATATGCCGTAGAAAGGCAGAGTGTCAGGGTGTTGCTACAGTGCAGGACTTTGATCATAAAACCATGGTAACGCAGATCAGACGCCGCAAGAGAGCGAAGCAGCTGATATGTGGGCAATTAAAGCTGCTACGAGATTTGTGGTGCCAGTCAGTGCACCCAGAACCCCATCACAGCGTTAATACGTTGATGGTTGTAGCAAGTACTGAAGCAGTTAGATTTTTCTTTTATGGAGCAGATATTGTTGATGAATAGATTCCAGGATGGAGAAATCTTGTGTACTAGCATCCCGGAATGAAACAAATTAGGGTTTTACTTCAACAATGATTTTCAGTTCAGAGTTGCAGTAAGAGGATGAAGGTGTAATTGCACTGATTTAATTACACTTCAGTGAGTAGGTCTGAATGAGAAAAGTAACGAATGTTTCAGCAGTAGTCGGGGTTTTTACGAAATATGCTAATTTGCTTTCTTGATAAGGTGAGAGAATTGAAACCATTTTGTCTGAATGCTAAATATGAGCCAGTGGAAGATTGGCGGAATTGAATAACAGTATTGGAACCAGTATGCAGCAGTCAGCCTAACTGTGAAAAAATGAAACACATAACTGTATTAAATTGCCACTTGTGATTTTCACATTTTCATTTTCACACAGCATACAAGATACAAGATACAAGATACAAAGTGTTAATTGTGGGCTTGTAGAGATAATTAAAGCTTCCAGCTATCAGGTGAAGCTAAATTAAGCTAATCATCTCCAAGCTGTAGCTTTATATTTTGTTTATTCTTTATACCAAGTGCTTTTCCAACATGAAATCTAACTAGCTAACGCAGTGGTCTGCTTACTATAGAACACAATGTCGTGCCTAAAAAAGAAGACAAGCTAACCTTTCAAATTCAAACAAGTCACAGCCTATACCAAATAAAGGCTACAGCATGTCTATCCATCGAAATTAAAACAAGCTATACAGCATATCTGAGCTAGTTGGCTTGTCACTGACTATGCAAATTAAAACATGTCATATAGCATATCTAAGCTCGTTAGCTTGTCATTGTCCATCCAAATTATAAACAAGCAATATAGCATATTTAAAATAGTTACCTTGTCACTGACTATCCAAATTAAAAGAAGCTATACAGCATATCTAAGCTAATTATACAAATCAAGACAAGCTATACAGCACAACTAAGCTAGTTAGCTTGTCACTGACAGTACAAATTAAAACAAGCCATATAGCTTATTCAAGGTAGTTACCTTGTTACTGACTTTTCAAAACAAAATGTGCCATATAGCATATGTAAGCTGGTTAGCTTGTCACTGACTGTCCAAATTAAAATATGTCACAAAGTATATCTAAGCTAGTTGGCTTGTATTCAACTCAAGCTTGTGTACAGTTGAAGTCAACCCCAAGGGAGATGTTTTGGTTTAACCAGACCAGGTTCCAATCTAAATGAATGGGGAGGGAGCCATAACTGTAGTTTCAGTGGTCACCAAAACATAAACACTGCATGTATAACATCAAAAAAAAAAAAAAAAAACACTTGAAAACATTAGGTGACTTTACCCCACATCATGGGTTAGAAGTCATCTTTCCCCACAGGGTATAATACACATTTTTCAGGACACAGATTTCTATTCAGTTATTTAGGTGATGATTCTCTTCTTTATATTAAGGTAGTATATCTATGCACTGACCTTCTAGTGTCATGAATGTGGCAGCCATGACTGATCAATAAAAGTATGACTTTTGTTTATTTTGAGTATCTTCTTTGACATTCCAGTATAAGTAGTCCTATCATTCACAATGTCACTGGCACACTGCTTCATGCTGCATCTCTTCTTGACCCGCTCTGACCTCAGCTGAGCATGTACTCCACACTACATCTGTCACATACCCGTTTATTCATGGGCTTCATGCAACAAATGTGATGCTGTCAGCGACGAAGCGCCAAATTACAGAAGGTATGCAGAGAATGCTTTTCACGCAGAATAACAGAGTCGCTCTAATCGCTTTCATTTTCACAGTCTTAGAAATGAAGCAAGGATAAGTGGTACTTAATTTTGTATTTTGATTATGACTTGAGACTTCTGCAAATGCATGTTAGAGCTCCTTACTTAATCGAAATAAACATTCGACTGTAAAGGTACTAAAACTACGGTGGTAGTTAAAATGATTTGGGACCTAAATGTGATGCAGTAATCAATTAAGTGATGATGTACAAAATGAACACAGTGAATCACTTTTACTCATTAAGCCAGTGGAGTCAGTCCTGCTCTTTTAATATATGCAAATACAGATTTAATCCACTTTGCTACCAATTTCATGCCGCTCCAGCGGAGGATTTGCACATCACTCTCCCATTCTTGGGAGCTATTCATTTCATCTTAATCAGATCCAGCTGTATAATTGCAGTCATGGAGATTAGTGCCAAGGAAGGAAGGAAGGACACGCACGCTCGCGCACATGGACATATTAATACGTCCATCCACAAAGGCGCACACATACTGTATGTGCACGAGTGTGAGCGCACACGGCGGCGGCAGCAGCAGCAGCAGCAGCAGCAGCAGCTGACGGCTGCCTGATAGTGCTGAGTGTTGCAGTGATGAAACTAGAGATGCTGCTCGCTCCTCGTAATAGAATTCACACCGGCAGCAGCGGCCAGCTGTAGTAGAATGCTAATGTACGTGAGATGTTTTCTGCGTGGGCAGATGAGCCGCTTCATTCAGAAATATGTGACTGCAGCAGGGGAATAAAAGGAGTAAGAAAAAGTGTTTCAGCAGACTAATTCTTGTGCAAAATCATCATTAAAAGGAAAAAAAATGACTTTTTAAGAACGCTTTTTATTTGTAAAAGTGAAAATTAATGTCCAGATAGCTGCCACAGGACAATTACACGCTCGGATTGAATGAACTCCCATCATCTGTCTGATATGACAGTTCAGCTGGTGATGGTGCAGGTACGGTACTTGTGAAGGCAGAGCAAACAAACCTACCTCTCCGGGTCTGTCTGATCTTTGGGCTCAGCATGGCTGTCATCGCTCGTCCACACGCTCTCCTGTCGGCATGTTCATGTACATCCAAGCACCCCACCCTGTGTCTCCCTGTGCCTCTCGCTGTCTCTGCCTCTCTCCTCTTCTTCTGCCTCTGACCTTCTGCAGTGCGGCCGGCAGCTAGGGGGTTGGGTGAACATGGTAGGGGAGGAGAATGGAAAGAGAAGGGGGTGGTGGTGAAGGAGAGGGAGGGGGAGGAACTACCCCTCTATTTTTTTTTTTCCTTCCGTGCACACGCCCAGCGTCCTCCACCCCTCCCTGTTACATTATTCATAGCGGTACATCCGCCCGTGGTGGATGGGGAGGGTCTCCCACCGGCAGAACACGGGCCTGACCGGCTAATAGATGCCACATTTTAAGTGTTCTTATTTTCTGCAATGATTGCTTTTTCATACAGACCTGTCATTTTGGAGAGGGGAAGAAGAGAGGGGGCGTTTATCTGGCAGGTGTCTCCTCCTTCTGCACCTAATTAAGCTGTAGAGGTCCTCAGCTAGTCTCCACCTCCTTCCCTTAATCACTCCTTTCCCCCCCACCCTTCTTTCTCTCTCATCTCCTTCTTGCCATACCAATATTTGATCTTTTCCTTTCCTTCTCCTCCCTCTTTTCTCCACACAATTCCTGTCTTAATTCTGCTATAGCTCACGCCTGTCAGCGTCTGTTCAATTTTCTCTTAATTACTTATCTGAACAATTCTCGTCTTTACCAGCCTTGGCTTTCTAAGAATGATGCGGCCTTCACTTCCAACAGGAGAAATTCCCAACTCGTACCCGAGGTTGTAATTACACCCTCCAGGCATTCCAGTGGCACAACACAGAAAAACCAGGAGGAGAAAAAATACATGTCCCACTTGTACAAACAATATCCTGTCGCCTTGAGCCACAGCGGCCTGTAATTGCCACAATGGAGTGTGTAGGAGTGTGACACTTAAAGCGAGGGTAATTCATAGCTAAGTGAAAATTAGTTTGATATGCTTTTGTGTTTACTTCCGTGGTTTTCTGCTGTATCGTTGTAGTTTTTTCTCATTCATTTTTATTCTTGTAAGCATTATCTGAATCTACAGCATCCACAAAAGTGTATAGTTACCACGGTTACAGGTGTTAGCAGGGTAGCGGAAATGGACC